CTGCTGAAATGACTCCCACATCCAGGCCAAGGTGCTGGGTGATGCCCACTCCGTCGTAGAGGCAGGGATTCCCATGGGGGGGCAGGGCATTGCTCTCACTTGCTCTTGTGCGTCTTGTGCTCTTCCGCGTCTCCACCTCAGGCAAGGCGCTGGGGCCTGGACCCAGGAGGGAAGGGCTTCCTGTCTGCATTTATAGGAAGTCAGGAGAGTCTGGCTGAGCAGAAACAGAGGGCCTGTTTGACGCCTAATATTGCTAAGTCGGGTGACGTGGAGCATTCCAGAAATGAGAATTCCCCTGGTTAAATCCCTTAGACCAGCAGCTGCTTAACGGATCTGCATATTAACTGAAATAATTCTGAAATGATGTATTGAGGTCCTACCACGGCCAGAAAGGATAGGGGCCCTGGTGGCTAAAATAGTCAGGTTCCGTGTTCTGACTGGCCGTTAACTCTGGCAGATGGCGTGGCCTCCCACCACACATTCAGGTTCAGGTGTCTCTGGGCTGTTTCCCAAGGCACCGTGAAGGTGCATTTAATCAGAAGTGCTCTGAGTGACTTTCAGAGATGTGCTCCCAAGGGGAACGCTTAATCCTACCCTTGAGTTTCGTTGGCCAACACTAAAGCTGTGTCTACACAAACAGAATCATGGGCAGAGGTGAAGGAATTATCCAGCTTCAGCTAGGGCCTCCTGTAGTTAAGAAAAGGAAGTGAGGGGTTATTGATATAAACCGGCTGAGATGATGCCTATGCAAGGAGCTAGACTGATAGTAACACAGTTTCTATTATTCAGTCCAGTTTTCCTACTGATCCAGTTCATTGGAAAGTGGCTGGACTCATCTTGTTCTTACCCCTGAGAAGACCCTGGCCAGCCATTTGAAGCCTCATTCCTGAGTGGAGGACTTTAAAGCACAGGTAGAGGGTAAGGCCTCTCGTCCATCTTGCCCGGCACTTCCTCAAAGCAACCTAGTCCTTGTTTTGTTCCTCTCTTGCCCGTAGGAGCCTGGTAAATGGAACGTTCTCGGAAATCAAGGACCGAATGTTTTCTCATCTGCCTTCCCTGCAGCTGCTGTGAGTATGGGAAGTCCTCTCTGGAAATGGCGGTCCTGGAGGTGCGGTCCTGGGAAGAGCCGTCTCTGTCTCTTGGGTATCAGTCCTTCCCAAGATACCCAAGCTCCACAAGTAGACTGTGGCTGGCTCTTAGTGTTTGCTTGCCCCGTTGTGTCCCCACTGAGCTGAGTCCCCAGTGCGCAGTGTCCTTCCCTTCTTTCAGCACATGTTTTCCTCAAGGACTTTATTTATTTATTTATTTTAACATCTTTATTGGGGTATAATTGCTTTACATTGTTGTGTTAGTTTCTGCTTTATAACAAAGTGAATCAGCTATATGTATACATATATCCCCATATCCCCTCCCTCTTGCATCTCCCTCCCACCCTCCCTATCCCACCCCTCTAGGTGGACACAAAGCACCGAGCTGATCTCCCTGTGCTATTCGGCTGTTTCCCACTAGCTGTCTGTTTTCCATTTGGTAGTGTATGTATGTCCATGCCACTCTCTCACTTCTTCCCAGCTTACCCTTTCCCTTCCCCGTGTCCTCAAGTCCATTCTCTACATCTGTATCTTTATTCCTGTCAGGGACTTTACTGTAGATGCCATCGCCCATATCTAGCAACTGGGGCCATGATTACATTGAATTATGACCTGAATTTCACCTAAACGTACCATTTCCCAAACACCTCACTTTAAAAGAGAACCTCCATTTTTAACCTCTGAATGTTATTATGGAAATAGGAGCTCTCAGGTCATATTTACTGAGACCCGTAGGGAAGAAATGTGAAATAATGGGGGTGACCAGAAACTCTGGCCAAAGGGAATCCACTTGCCATTGTCCATCAGTGTCTGAGTCAGGTCACACACCAAATGGGCCAGTTTTACACTGAGAAGAGCCCATGTTTGCCCGCAGATCAGAACATAACAAAGGAAACAGAAATGGCTTCGCTCTGTGACTCAAATTTTACACTTCTGCATTGAAACCTAATGTCTCTTATTTTCAGTTTGCTGAATTCTAACTCATTCACAGTCATCCGGGATGATGCTTTTGCTGGACTTTTTCATCTTGAATACCTGTAAGTTTTGTGCTTTGTCTATTTGCTGAGCGTTTGGTATGTCAGTGGAATGGCTGTATTGCTTTCCAAGCTGGAACAGCATCTCTTAGAGAGCTTAAGGGTGGAGAAAATTCAGAAAACCCCATTCTGTTTTCAGCGCTGACCTTTCATAGTTTACTTGTGTATAAACATGCTGAGACAGGAGGAGGTTAGAGACAAAGACGGGGAAAGGAAACAAAGAAGGAAAGATATTCATTCATTCTCTGCTGACATTTAATTTGTCATGTCATAAGCACAATTGGAAATTATATTGGATATTTTTACCTCTCAAAGCTAGACATGGATTTGCTGATCAGCCAGAAATAAAGCTGATACATGATACATATTTTTAAGAAAGTCTCCCTATTTGGGGATACAGCTTTATGTTTTTAGTTTACCTGTCCTATATCCCGTTTGCAGTGTCTCCTGTGAGCTGCAGCTGAGGGTCTAATTTTGTTTTTTCTCCTTTAAAATAAAGGTTATTTTCCCCTTTTCAGTTGTGCGTTTTTTTTCCCCCCGGCAATGCCTGGCTCTGATTTCTGCCTCTTCACACTTTCAGGTCGTCTTTTTTCCCCTTAAGTTCTTCCACCCTTGTCTTCTGTCACTTTGTAATAATATTAATCCTGCTATCAGATGGGATTTCCTTACTTAGCATTCAGGGGGATTTTTTTAAATCCATGTCTCTGCTTTCTTATCTGAGGTTAACAGGTAGATGTTTGAATTCTAAATACATCCTGGGTCTAAGAAAGCTCTCTGCTGATTTCCTGTCCTCAGGAAAGATGTCTCTGGAGAAATTCTTTCTTCAGAGGATACATCATACGGGTACTCTCAGAAAACTTGATAGTCTGGGTAACCTGGGAAGAGTGGTTAGGCTGAAGTGCTAGGCCAACTAGGTTGTATCAAAGCACATCAACAGCTGATGGAGGTGGTGAACAAAGAACCATCCATTCTCTCTTTCAAGCAGTACATCTTTCTGTCAAGGTTACTGAGGAGGAAGTTTGCTTCTCAGCTTATACTGAAGTCTATTACTGAATAGACCCCTGATTAAAAAAAAAAAACAAAACCAGGCACCAGATCATTCTCAGTGTACGAATCAAGAACTGTTTCACTAACGAAAAACACCATGTTGCAAAGTCTCCCTTGGACCATCTCATCAGACTTTCTTACATTTGAAGAAATGTGATGCTGTAAAAGAAAATTTAGTTCTCTGCGGCCCTAGGGAATAGCCCTAGTGCATTCACTTCCCATTGTAAAGCATGGCTGGAGTTATTACTGCAAGGTCCTGTGTGCAAGCCCTAAGACATCCTAGCACAGAGAAGGAAGTCTGGCCCATTCTCACCTTCCTTATACTTTCTATTTCCAAGTAGCCTAGAGATCTTGAGAATATCCTTGCCTTGTCACCCACTTGTTCAGAGATGACACTGTGTAGGACATGATGAACTCAAGCTTGCCAGAAGCCAAGCTTAATGGAATTCTCCCTGGGCAAAGACTTTAATATGAAGAGGTAAAACAATGGGCTCCCCCCAAGGGGCAATGATGTTAACAGAAGTATTAATAGCCAGGCACTGTGAAATGTAAGAAGGTCGGAGGGGGGAAGATGTCTGGGAGTGTTCCAGTCTTGCGGAATTTGAGAATATCTTGCCTTTGTGTAGGGCTTTCTTCTCTTTTTCCCCCCAAGGTGTTTTTACCCATGCTGCCAATTCTGACTTTGAAGACTTCCAGGCTGCTTCTGGAAGGAGTGCAAAAAGCACACTTGTGTGGAGGCACTCTTGCACACGCACCCAGCTCCCACTTGGAATCTGGTATAGCTGACCGAGCCTTTGGAGATGAATTTCTGAAATTTATAAATGCTTTTAGATTTCATTCTGAAAGCATCCCAGTATCGTTTTTTTCGAGATATTAAGCAGAGAAAATTCAGTTTAATTATATGGCTGTTCTCCTTAGGTTCATCGAAGGGAACAAAATAGAAACCATTTCAAGAAACGCCTTCCGTGGCCTTCGTGACCTGACTCACCTGTAAGTCTTGTGAAAAGTGTTGTAAGCCCTATTTAATGTGTAGAGTGAGGGTCACTTCCCAGTGCCTCTCTCTTTCTTGACTGTTTTCTACATATTGTGATAGCTTCTGAAGGAAACTCATTGTCGGATTGCCCGAGCGGTTTCCGTATTGTTGATCAGACACCAGCCCATTGTGATCACTCATACACTTGGCTTTCTTATCTTCTCCATCCTCCCGAATTGCCGTTATGGTCCACATGACTGCATGTGACAGGAGCGCTCTGAGCTGGGAGTGCTGGACGAGGTGGGAAGGAATGGAACCTGTATCATATACCTACTCTGTGCCAGGCCCTGGGCTGAGTGCTTAGTGAGCCTTCTCTTCTTTATACTTCACCGTAATCTGTGAGTCCCCATTGTACAGATTTGGGAACTGAGGCTTACCTGACTCATTGAAGAATGTTTGTTGCATGGAGGATCAACATTAGGATGAAGTAGAATAGAGACATTTTTGTGGTTCCTTTAATTTGGATGCAAATAGCTTTTTTTTTTTTTTTTATGTTGGATTAATCTGTGGTTTAAGCTAAGCTCTCTGGGTTCTTTAATAGCTTTCTGGAGAAAAAAATTAAACTAATTGATTTGAATTGGCATATCAAATAAAGCAAGCATACACACTTAGCAAATTTAGAAAACTGGAAGAATATTGCCCGTGCTTATGAAAATGTGAACATCGTCGTTGTCTTGGCAGGAGCAATTTATTAACCAGGAACCAGTCCCATTTGCACGCTAGAAACTTTGTGTTTGAGTAGGATAACATGTCCCATCTCCATAGTCAGCTTATCTGTGGTAAAAAGACAATTGGGGAAGTTAGAGGGCTTTGAGTAGGGGTATTAGGCAGGGTGGCAATACCTCCAGGGTGTGTAACCGATACAACATCTAAGGAGATAATCATTCACATCAGACCCTGACAGAGGCAAAGGTGTCTGTCAATAGGCTCAGTAAGCACTTGATTCTGGAATGCTACCAGTCAAAAGTCCTGCCTAAGTTACAGCTTGTAGAGTAAGGAGATGAGGGAGTGGAAATGGGAGTCTAAACATCTGGAGCAGCACAGCCGATCCTGGACAACATCAGACTCTTATTGGCATTATTCCTCCATGTTTGCTTTCCTTGCTATAAAAGTCTTGATTGTTTTTTCAGATTCAGCCTAGATGCCAAATCCCCACGTTCTTGTAGAGGCGAAGACAATGGGCTTTGAGTCACAATAGACTCGAGTGCAAATCTCAAGGCCACCACTTGTTAGTATTACTTAGCCTTTTTCGAGCCTCACTTTTCTCATCCTTAAAAATGGGGATTATACAAACTTCATAAGATTGCCGCATGTAGTGGGTTAGTGCTTGCTTGCAAGTCATCCGGCCCGTTATCCATGGTAAATGTTCAAGGTCTGGTTGGCGTTGCTATCATCATCATCGTCATCGTTCACAACAATAGCATTGTTCCCTCCCTCCGCTAATGAAGTAAGCCTCAGTCTTTTCCAGGGGCTCCTGAGTAGCCTTGGCAGTTTGGGTGGCTAGACAGGGTCTGCTAGGAAGACAACTGTGGGTGTCTGGAGAACAGCTGTGGCAAGACAAATCCAGTTCCCAGAAGTGAGGAATGAAGGGCTTTGTTTTTGAGCAAAGGCTCTGGGCAGATTATGCGCCTAAAGCAAAGCCCGTGTGACTGGTTGAGTTCGTCCAGATGTCAACTTTCATCTGACCAGTTGGCTGTGGGTCCTTGGTCTGAAAACAGATGTAAATATGCAGGTATTGTGCATATGTATTTGCATATCTTTGTGCATGTGGGCCCTTGGGTACATGGACTTCTATTCATGTGTGCACATAACTGTGTGTGTGTGCTTGCACATTTGCACATACAACCATATGCTGTGTATCACCCATATGTGTGCAAGAGGCACCTCCTTGTCTGTGTGACATGCAGGGGGCACACACAGAGGGAACAAAGGAGTCCTTTGTTTGGGCCCAGAGCGCATCTGATGCATTAGAGGAGATGTAAGCCCATCCAGCGTGGGTTCCCATCCCACAGTCAAGCCTATGGGGCCCGCCTCCCCCCAGCTCTCCAGCTCATTTCCCTGAATGTGCCCACAACACTGGGCTCTCAGGGCGCCCCTGTGCACACCCAATTCACCCCATTACTGGGCCTTTCCCTTACATCCTTTCCCTTGCCCAGGATATGGTTTCTTCTGCCCACGATCTCCTGGAATCCGCCTTTTCCTTCAGAGTCCAGATTAAGTTCTGTCTTTTCCTGGGAGCCGTTCCTGATCTCCCCTCCACACCTCTTGCAGCCCTCCCAGCTGATTCCACACAAGTGGCACTTTGCTGTAGACCCTGGCCATATTGGTTGGTGCCGTTTCACGGATGTTAGTTTCATCTCCCCAGCTGTGTTGAAAGCTCCCTGCGGGCAGGGCCCCTGCTGATCTTCCATTAGCTCTGCTCTTCCCCCAGGGTCTCACACAGGGCTAAGCCGGCAGGACATTCTTTCTGATTCGCTGACTGACCAATGAGTTACTAAGCTGGGTTTTCCATATGTGCTCTACTGCAGGGCAAGTCTTATGACTTTTAAAGTTGACTCCTCTGGGCTGGAGATGTACGTAGTAATAAAAACATTTAATACACTGTTGAAAGAATGAACTGATCCTCCCAGCCCACCTCATCCCCTTTTTCTTTGTAAACTTCTAAGCAAGGAGAACACATCAGCTCTCTAAATTTCACTCCTGTGCTTAAGGAAGTGACTATCTGGAAGTTGCTTGTTTTAAGTATCTGCTTTTTACCTTTATGAACTTTTCCAACACCTGCAGACTCACATCCGTACGTAAAGAAACATAGATCGGGTTTCAAAGCATTGAAGGAGCAGTGCCAATCTGTAACTAAAATCTAGGACATTTGTTTTCCAGCGGTCCCACAAAGCCCAAGGGACCAGTTGCTGTTAAGTAGTTTTAGAAATGAAGGGCCATGAACTTGTACACAAAATGAAGTGGAAAGTGAGATGTTATGCACGGAGTCTGGGCGGGGTAGGGGTGGACAGTCCATCTAAATAATTCAGCTTTCTGAAATCTAAATTGAACACTTGGAACAGTTACTAAACATTCTGCTTTTTTTTTTTTTTTGGCCTTGACCATTCCGTATATGCTTGTCACTTCAATCCAGTGCATTTCAATTCACTAAAGATGTTTAGCTAAACTAGTAACCTTTAATTAGCTAAAAAAGTTGTACTTTACTTTCCGGAAAAAGTGACTAGCAGCCAGAAAAAAAAATCAAAAAACTGTCTGCTTTTTAAATTTCAAGAAGCTACTTGTAGAGAATGTTCAGTCTGATTACAGTCTGTAGTCTGTAATCTACAGTCTGTAGTTACGATTTCAATCTGTTCAGCCTGTTTTCCAACATCTTTAAAATTGTACCAATAGATCATTTAGGAAAGGAAGGTAAAATAATACATGAAATTGTATTTTAATCCATTCGTGGTTAACTGGATGGGAAAAGACATAATTTAGAAACTATAGGTCTCCCTGTATTCCATTGCTCTCACGCAGCAAGAATGTTTGGATTTAAAATGGGCACAAAGCTTTCTACCCTAGTTGACTCTAAGGAGGAACACCCTTTCATTCCTACTTCTGGGATGGGTCATTATGATGCTACAAAAGATTAATTTCATATATATTTTTAAAGAGGTTGGTGCTGAATTACCTACATGTGGATTATCATTTATATGTTCTGCTCTTTGTATACTCAAATGTATAAAAGAAAACAAAAGTAAGCATCAGTGTTTTGGCTGACTCACATTAGGGCATGATGCCTGGGAGAAATCAGACTTGATGTATGTCATTTCAACACCTATCATCTTTCTACGTCAGCAGCCCAGCACCATGTACATTCATCTTCAGC